GTTATTTTTGGTGAAAAGTGATATTTTAGACTTCTTGTTAAAAACAGCTAGTCCGATTGCTTTGATACTATACATATTGTTCATTTTCTAATGATATCTTCTGTTCTTAATTGAAATGTGCATTGCTAATAGCAGAGCTATCTCAGCCAAGAGGCTGCTTGTTGAGGGTTTTGTGGGGGAAATGATTTCACCCAAAAGATTAATAATTCATTTGCATTACAGGCCAGCTGGATTTTGTAAAGAGTACAACCCTAGCAAAGATGAGAGGGGAATATGTTCAAACTTCATAAAAGAAGATCAGAAGGTTTTCTTCAATAATTCGGTTGAAAACCCAATAATGGTGAATGAAAATATTACACGAGGACTGTGGATCAGTGTGGATAATGTGGATAATCGGCAGTGCCGGATAGCTGCCGAAAAATTGCTGTGTCATTATTCTTTTCCTGATTGTGACGATTCGGTTGCTTACTATCCAATGCCAAAATTATTATGCAAGTAAGTTTATTTGATTTTTTTTTTCTAACCTGAGTGCAGTTTTAATATACTCACATTATATTTAGAGAACATCTTTTCCGTGAAATGCTTTGTCTGTGAGTTAATTAGGAGACAGCCTCCTCTCAATTGCCTGTATATACCGTAATATTCCAGTGTTATCGTAAAACTTTAAATAGTGAATGATCAATCACATTTTTGTCTTTGTAGGGAGGAGTGTCTTCTTGTGCAGGAATCTATTTGTAAAAATGAGTGGGGAGTTTTAAAATTAAACATCGATCAAGGTATTCCCTTGAAGTCACGTGGTCATTTCCATTTTCCGAATTGTCACGAATTACCCAGTATTCACACCTTGGGTTCAAATGGCCTCCCAAAGTGTTCTGTTGCTGGTATTCGCGGTAAGTAATGAGATATTTGGCTTGCTTTGTTCCACGTCTTTATTTGTTGTCATGCAAATTTCTATGTACTATTTACTTACACAGGAGGTTTGAAATGTACAAGTACGATCTATTGCGTAATAATTTGTAAATGTGTTGTAGGGTAGGGATGGGTGAAGTTTAAGTGAATTTGGGTCATGAACTACTAATATTTTTAAATCACATTTGGTTGGTTTTATAGCCTCTAGATGACAAGGTTTTTGATTTGAATACTGTAAGGGACGACGAAAAAAGATCGATGTCGGATAAAAAAACTTATTTGCTTCAGTTTGGGGGTGGAGGGTTTGACCTCAAAAATTTTCCACCCTACAAAAATGATTTCATTTTTTCATGAAGTCAAAAAAATCTTAAGTATTTGTAGTTCATTTTTTTTCTTCTATCCAATCATGGACAAAAAATCCAACACATCCAAGACGAGAAAATGGTTCGGTCCTAGTGTAAATATGTGCGTTGTCATACTAATGTCCGATTATCAATTTGTATTTAATGGTGAATGTAGTCTGTTGCCATGATCAATATTTATCAATTAAGTTTCGGGGGGGGGGGGGATAAAGGAATTAAGTTTTTTATCCTACATTGAACTTTTGATGTTGTCCCTAAGCAAAGACGACTACAGAATTGTTTTGTTACTCTTTACGTCATTGTCCTTATTAAGGTTTTATCATAAACCCTAAACAATGAAGTCCAGCTGTTTAGGTTTAAGTCAAATTGTATTTTCACCGACTTTCACATCACTGCATAGTGTAAAATTGGTTTATTATGAATTTACAGTGGTGATTGTATGCCACAATGACTATAAATGACATATGTGTAGAGATTTCACCCACAAAAATGAGGACAAGAAATACATGTACATCACCGAAAAAACGCCTCATATGAGACGTTAATGATTTGTTTATTAGCGTTGAAAACAACATTTGGATGTCTTGTTTCACTTCTCCTATAGTAGCCAATCCTGTCTAACTAAATCTTAATTAAAGCAATTGATCTACTTTTCTACCCCAAACACGTTTCCATATAGCATATAGTTTTAACTACAGAATATATAATATATGTGTTCCTCTCCCCGTTCCGAAGCCCCTCCCTCGAAATTGTACATGCCTGTTAGACAAGAAAGGATCTATAACTCTTCGAGAAATTTCAATAAAATTAAATTCATTTATGTATTAAAAATACCTATATTTTGCCTTTACAGAGGAGGACCCTGATTTAATCACAAGTAAGTAAATAAAGGTTTCATTTTTTCATGCGCAGCCGGGTTGCTATGTAGTGAATAGTTTTCAAAATAGTAGTCAAATGGAGGGCGCCCCCTGGTGACCAAAAGTGTTGTTTTTTCTTTCAAATGTTTTTGGAAGATGGCACTTGACAAAATAAAGTTCTATAGAAAAATGGGAATTGAAACTTATAATTTTTTTTCCCCCTACTTATCACTCATCAATTTAGTGTCATTAATAATTATTTTAAATTCAAACTATGTGATATGCATTTTACGATTTGTCCTGTTTTGTCACACTTGGGAACGCCCAGATGGATGTGATAATGTACTATTATACATTACTGTATCCTACCTTATTAGCATATGCAAATTCCAAATAGGGAATGTTTAATTACGTGATTGTTCCAAGGTGTTGAGCATGTTTTGTTTTCTTTAAACTTATCATTGCAAGGAATTTTCACCAATATTCACCACCCAGTTTAGGGTTTTATACATCAATTAATCGGTTGGATTGGGAAGATGTATAATAAAGCTATACGAGCATGTCAACCTCTGCTACACACTTCCACTGTATGTATCTGTGCATATTTTGCGATATCCTCGTCTAACCTTGTATCTTACTTTCTAGTTGACTGTATTTCTGGGAATGGTGATTATTATCGAGGTACGCAAAGCCTATCAGAGAACGGTGTTCCATGCCAAAAATGGTCTTCTCAAGTAAGTTAATTTTAGAATATGCAACCATGTAATGATTTGTAATGTAATGCAGTAATGTAATTATTGCTATTTAATGTAATGTGCTGTGTATGTACCAGATGTAATATGTTAAATGATGTTGTGCAATGCAACATAAGGTCATGTGATGTGATGTGATGTAATTATTGCTATTTAATGTAATGTTATGTACCAGATGTAATATGTTAAATGATGTTGTGCAATGCAACATAAGGTCATGTGATGTGATGTGATGTGATGTAATTATTGTTATTTAATGTGCTGTGTATGTACCAGATGTAATATGTTAACTGATATTGTGCAATGCAACATAAGGTCATGTGATGTGATGTGATGTAATTATTGCTAATGTAATGTGCTGTGTATGTACCAGATGTAATATGTTAAATGATGTTGTGCAATGCAACATAAGGTCATGTGATGTGATGTAATTATTGCTAATGTAATGTGCTGTGTATGTACCAGATGTATTATGTTAAATGATGTTGTGCAATGCAACATAAGGTCATGTGATGTGATGTAATTATTGCTATTTAATGTGCTGTGTATGTACCAGATGTAATATGTTAAATGATGTTGTGCAATGCAACATAAGGTCATGTGATGTGATGTGATGTAATTATTGCTAATGTAATGTGCTGTGTATGTACCAGATGTATTATGTTAAATGATGTTGTGCAATGCAACATAAGGTCATGTCATGTCATGTCATGTCATGTCATGTCATGTCATGTCATGTCATGTCATGTCATGTCATGTAATTATTGCTATTTAATGTGCTGTGTATGTGCCAGATGTAATATGTTAAATGATGTTGTGCAATGCAACATAAGGTCATGTGATGTGATGTAATTATTGCTAATGTAATGTGCTGTGTATGTACCAGATGTATTATGTTAAATGATGTTGTGCAATGCAACATAAGGTCATGTGATGTGATGTGATGTAATTATTGCTATTTAATGTGCTGTGTATGTACCAGATGTAATATGTTAAATGATGTTGTGCAATGCAACATAAGGTCATGCTATGTGATGTGATGTGATGTAATTTAATGTGACATGATGTAATGTGACGTGATGTAATTATTGCTATTTATGTGCTGTGTATGTACCAGATGTAATATGTTAAATGATGTTGTGCAATGCAACATAAGGTCATGCTATGTGATGTGATGTAATTTAATGTGACATGATGTAATGTAAGATCAATGGACAATACTTTGCAATGTACCTTATATTTTTAGCATTGAATATAAAAAAAAAAACTGTTTAGCTAGTTTAGCTAGTTACAATGTTTTTCTTTTTTTTCAGAGTCCTCATACACACAGGTTTACTCCAGATCTTTTTTCGGAACTTCCCGAGACAGAAAACTTTTGCCGCAATCCTGGGGGGGTTCGGGACAGGCCGTGGTGTATCGTAACGACCGTTAACACAATATGGGAGTATTGTAATATATCGCAGTGTGGTATGTGCATTTCCCCATTATCTTCAAGCATGTGATTGTCAGTAACTAACGTGGTGATATACCTGAAGAAAATGACAGTTTGACTTTGTGTTCTGATTCGGCATGTGATAAGGCTATGCTAACTCGTTTTTCTTGTTGGTATTTTGATTAAAATGTAATTTGTTGTTTGTGAGTAACCCCGCTTCATCACAGGTTACTGACGATCATTTGACACGTGTGAGTGAGTGAGTGAGTAAAATTCAATCGAATATTAATATTGTCACGGTAGTCACATGTAAACTACCACATTTGCTCTCTTAGTAGCACATATTTTAATTTTTCGGTATACAACAAATGTGATTTTTAGCTCTGCTGTCAACTTTGTACAGCGGAGCTTATCATATGAGTGATTGTCCTCCGGTGTCGTCCGTCAACGTTTTTTTTCAACTTCTTCTTGAAAACTACAATTCTTATTGCTTTGATACTTGATGTATATGTACCTTGGGCAGACCTCTCTTAGATTTGTTTGTTTCATGATATCTTCAATTCTCTAATTTTAATGAATATTTTTGCCATTTTTGGAAAAAGGGATATTTTCAACTTCTTGTTAAAAACCACAAGTGCTTTGATACTATACATATAGGTACCTTAAGTAGACCTCTCTCAGATTTGTTCCTTTTCTAATGATATTTTCAGTTCTTTAATTGAAATATGCATTGTTAACAGCGGAGCCATCTCAGCGACAGGCTGCTTGTTTTGATTTTTCAACATCATTTAAGTTCAAATAAATAAATAAAATAACTTTGTTTTGTTTCAGAAAATGATTCACTCATTGTTACTTCTACTGAGACTGATTGGGGTGCTACAAAACCTCCTGCAGAAGAAGGTGAACAAAGCAACATCATCGCTACGGTTGGAATCAGCCTTAGTGTCGTGTTAACTGTAATAATACTACTCACCGCCCTCATGTGCTATAAATGGCAACAATACAAGCGCTATTCTATGTACGAATTTCCAAGCAATTTTGACGCTTCAAAGCTACCTGAAAATCCAATGTATGAGCGACCGCCGGTCGATCGTAGCCTGAGTCAGAGTCTTGGCCGATTGGAATACCCCCGGAACAAGGTAGTCTATATGAGAGACTTGGGACAAGGAGCGTTTGGAAGAGTTTTTCAGGCCAAAGTGCCGAACCTTATTCCCGAACAGGAATATTCAATTGTTGCAGTGAAAATGTTGAAAGCTGAGGCGTCGGATGTGATGCTGCAGGCGTTCAACAGGGAGGCATTATTAATTGCCAAATTCAATCATCCGAATATTGTTAAATTATTGGGCGTTTGTTCAATAGGGAAACCTGCTTGTTTGATCTTGGAATATATGGGTCAAGGAGACTTGAATATTTTTCTGCGAGCCCGTGATCCCAAACAGAGACTGGAACTCAATACTGAGAGACGTTCGCGAAAAACCGGCCTCAAACTCTACCAACAGTTAAAAATAGCGCAAGAAATAGCAGCTGGTATGGTTTACATATCTGAGAGGAAATTTGTGCATCGAGACTTAGCCACTCGAAACTGCCTTGTTAGCGATAGTTTTAGAGTGAAAATATCAGATTTTGGACTGGCTCGCTATGTGGGAAAGCATGTGTTCTATAAGGGTAAAATCGGTGATGCAATACCTATTCGTTGGACTGCACCTGAATCAATCTTGCACAATCAGTTTACCTCGTGCTCGGACCTTTGGTCGTTTGGGATTCTCTTATGGGAAGTGTTCACCTATGCGTTACAGCCTTACTTCGGTGCTTCGCACACCGAAGTGATTCAGCATGTGCAACATGGCAGGGTTCCAGCATGCCCAGACAATACCCCTAACGAAGTGTACTCTCTAATGAAGCAATGCTGGAGGATTAATCCCCGAGACAGGCCAACTTTTCTCACGGTGCTTATAACGCTGGAGCAGTTGCAACGAAAGTTTACTGGACATGATGTCTGCTAAAAGGGAGCCACCTTACCATATATGTTTTCCAAAGCAGTCGCTATATAAATTTAACTAATAAGGAGCCCTACTACTGAATTGTGAGCCTTATAACATTTTTAAGTCATCCTGAGCAGGATTGCCGTTATCTGACACTCTCCTAAAAGAGGCCTTCCATTGATAATTATTCTGTCGCAGCCAGTGAAGCTTCTTCTTTTAAAAATGTCTTGCTGCCACCAGCTAACAGAAATGCCGAGTTATGCCTAATATTGAAACTATAATTGTATCTCACCACTTTGATTACATAATTTGTATGATAGATAATTCAGTTCTGCATCTGCAAAATATTTTCGTAGTCTATACTGTTGTAGTTCATATCACTAATATTACAGTTACCACTGCTTTTATCTTCAGCTCTCTCTCAATAATACAGGTCATCCGCTGCATCTGCGCTATTTCTGACCCTGTATATTTCTAGTCTTATTTTTAGTTTTAAGGCATATTCGTGATATGTTTAACGCTTTAGTAATGTATGGTTATTCTTAAATGGGTTTCAACTCGTTAGAACATTACCTGCATCTCGCGCATTGTTTTATCCGAGTAGATTGTTGTTATGAAAAATGATGAGGGATGTGCACCCCCACATATCGCACCATAGTTATGCTGACATGAACAATATTGTGTAAAGTATCAAGGCTGACATGGAAGTGTGTGTGTCACTTTATTCAGACCAAATTTATCCATCGAGTTGAATCTTTAGCAAATTTACAAAGCAGTTTCCTTGTTTTACAAAAGGTTGTCTAATTTTTTTTTTTAGCAGTGTTGCTGCTTTGTTTGTTGAAGTACTAAATAATGTTCGAGACACACCAAAATTTTAATGAAAAACAGGAAGAAAATATTCTGTGAATATGTATATGCTTGTCTAATATCCACTAAGTGGGGAGTAATTTTTTTTTTTCTTCTGGAACCAAAGTGCTTTGCCAGTTGCCAGTGTTGGATTGTTCTTACATTTGACAATAGCTAATTTTGTCACTAACTGCAAAGACAATGTACAAACTCAACAGTGTTTAATTATGCTCTATATTACAGTGATATTTAAATGTTATTTTTCTCAGTTTTACTAAACTGTTTTGGTTGCTAGTAATTCCCCGATTAGGAGATATTATGGCATCCATAATGACAAAATTTCACAAAAGTTACTAACTCCTCATGTCGTAGGACAGAAATTTTTCACTGCTACCAAATATCACAATTTTCACTTTCTCCCAAAATTTGCAAAAATTTATCTCACAAAATGAAAGCGATTTTACAATATTCGATAATCGACTAATGAATAAAAAGTGCTATTAGCCACTTTGGCTAAACTGTTTCACTTTTAAGCGCGAAAGCATGACGAAAGGATAGAATTTTGAGTTATTGCACAGGTTGAATCATAGAAATCAACACAGGCGTTGTATAAAGTTTGATGTGATTAATATTTAACTAGGCAGTGAATTACAACTAACTGCACTGTAACTATTATATTTAGGGGAGGGTGGGTGAATGATTTTACAATGAACGTTTCCTCGTTTTTTTGGCAATTTTACCACCTTGCTCTAATTAGTTCATGTCAATTTCAATAAACTGATAATTTTGATTTGTTTAATTTTCGTCTGTATAAATTTTCAAGAAATGACAACTTGACAGTTTTTTCAACCATGTGACACGTCATTTTTAAAAAACTCCCTATGCTCACTCTGCAATATTTTGTGGTTTTCCTGGACACTCAAAATTCTTGAAAATTTGTCTTTTGTGCGAATAAAGTGATTTATGACTTTATAAAGTTACCAGGTTTCGTTTGAAGTTGCTGTTAAACTTCAATCGTGACTGGAGAAATCTTCAGAATTAATAGATATGTAACACATTGAACAACTTGATTCTTGATGCCAAAAATGGGGTGTAACATTTTGCGAATCATACATTTTAGACAGACTGGGCATCATTTTCCATTGGCTTCCATAATCAACACATTTGAAAAAAAACACTATGGAAAGAATTGTGCAGATTTATTTTGTTAAATGTGAGAAAAGTTCACTTAGGCATTAAAACGACTAATTCTGAAGTCGGTGGCTCAACATTACCTGACAATGAATATATATTCTGAAAGCTTACATTTAAGAGAAAACTGGATATATTCAGTAAATATGTACCCTTGTACTCTCACTGTATTGAAAAAATGAGTTTGCAACAATTTCTATAAGAATTCATCTTAAGATATTAAGATATTAAAATATTAACATGCAGATTGGGGGTGAAGTTATGACTGTAAAATGATACAAGTACGTTGCAAGTCTGTTTGAACTTGTGTATCGTAAAAATTTAATAAAGTGGGCTTTGGTTAGTGGTCTAGTATTGACCTACTGGCACTTGTATTCCTTGAGAACTGCGAAAACATTTCAGACAAACCAGTTAACGTCAATCCCTGCACTTAATGTTGACCAGTGTTAAAACAAAATCAACTGTTTTATCTTCACGATACCTGAGGATTGTTTAGTCAATCACCTTGCACTATTTTGTCACATGACTAACAAGGACAAATAATAAGCTGAAATGAACACAGGAAATACTTTTTCTTATTTTAAATATTAACTTACATGGCATTCCCCCAGTGATTATCATATTATCTTCTCCAATTTGCGTCTTGTCTCCTGATATAGTTGTTATCAAGGAAGAAGGCGACAGTTCCATTTACTCTATCCATCTTTTTTTTTTTTTATTAGTTATAGTTTCAGTTTGAGCTTATGTTATGATACATGGCACCCCCGTGTCTACTTACAATGAGCGTTATCGTAGAAATATGAAATCATATCCTTTATCTTATTATTGCTTATCTGGTAAAAGTAATTCAGGGAAGAAACAAATTTGGCGATTCAGAGATGTAGAATAATTTATCTATCTCCTGGGTGTGTATCACCTTTTTCATGTCTGTGTTTATAGATTCGTCTCGATTTGTTTTCTATTATTACTGCAAAATTTCATTCTAGATTTCTAACTGATGTTTCAAAGGGTAGGTTTTACTGCTAGTGGTATTGAAAGAATTGATTCACGGCACTTTTTATTTTGTTTTCCTTTGTATTATTGGAAATATGTATATGGGAAGTCGGGGTGTATTCTGGTGTGTTTAAAGATGGCAATTAGGATCTCTGTAACACCATTATGTGCCGAAATGACGACTCAGTGTATATTTATCGTAAGTGTACTGTGGTCGTTATTGATCACGACAATCGGATTAGATCTTTCGGGACTGTTACTAGTTTGTAGATAGTATCATTTACTCCCTCAGAGACTGTTTCTCAATCATCCAACTTCTGCGATAGTTGACCCTATTCTTTCGTAGGTCATGCCGTCCTTCCCAAGTTGTGTGCACCGTTTGATTGATATCCTGTAGTTTGTTTTCCGATGATGATTATTTTGTTGATTTCTCATCAAGGGAAGTTTAAATATTTATAAAGGCGTTCTTTTGAGTTTAACAAGATACATTGCTTTGCCTGTATCTTGTATTTTACTGTTTGTGTGTGTGGGGGGGGGGGGGCAGGTTGTTGTTAAAGTGCAGTGTTTGACACCATTTTTGTGTATTTCAATTTTTTTGGCATTGTGCACATTTCTGGATGTAATTAGTTTTTCAGTTTTTTTTCAGCTCGATAACTCATTTTTGCATCGCCTTTGCTTGAGTCGTGTTTTGAATTGTTACTCGTAACCAAAAACAAAACAAAACAAAACACCACTGTAAATTATTTTGTTGTTGAAACAATGTGTACATATATATATTGTATCCACAAAGCAGCTTTTGGTATAATAGAAGCATTATAGTTTCGTTCTCATTCACTTATTGTAGTAGGGAAATATAAAGTGATAGTCTGAGTTGTGTATATTACTATTAACTTTTTTGCCGATTTGAGCACTTCAGTG